TCAAGCGCTGCACTGGCTTGCGTGCTCGCTTGGGACGCTGTGAATGCTCAGTGATACCTTCGTGACTCGTGTTACCGTTACGGATGGTCGGAGGTGCCGAAAGAGTGGTTGTTTCAGGAACATCATTTGGTGGTTGAACGGGTTGTAGAGGCTCGTCTGCTGCGACAGGGACGACGGTTGAAGTGTTGACTGGAGATGAAGATGTTGACGGTGCGGTTGAAGGCGGCTTCTCTGCGGCCAGCTGCTGCTCGGGTGTGAACTCTGGCGTTGAGGGTTGCTCCATCGAGGGTTGGAGTGAAGACGCCTCGTCGGTGAAGAGTGGCGGTGATGTGTGGTTCGGCTCAGGTTGACTCTGCTGCTGCTCATGAGGAGGTGTGTTGTTCTCAGGTACAGGTGGAGATGCTGTGGTATCTCCAGCAGGTGCACTTGGAGAGGGCTCCACTTCGGGTGTGGTGGTGAGTCCTGTTGGAGTGGGGAGAGAGTCTTCGAGAGAGGGAGGAGGGAGATAATTTAACTTCCATCGAGCGAGGGACATGTCTTCATGGAAGATCACGTCCCTGCTCACAATTTCCTTGGTAAGGAGAGGGTCCCAAAGAATCCAGCCCTTGCTCTCCTTACTCACCCCAATGTGCATGCCCCAGCGTGTCTTGCTCTCAAACTTTCCTCTCTTCTCATCGGGAATGCGATATTGTGCCATGCACCCAAACACGCGCAACATGGAAACATCGGGCTTCTTCCCATGCCATGCTTCGAATGGGGTGATACCTGAGGGAAGAGCGGTGGTTGGGCGACGATTCTTGAGGTGGACGGCGTGGTTCACGGCTTCTCCCCACCATGCATCGTCCAGCTTCATGTGCAAGAGAAGAGATCTTGCAATTTCCTGCAAGGTGCGGTTGAACCTTTCGGCAATGCCGTTCTGCTGAGGGGTGTAGGGGCATGAAAGCTCTTGTGCAATGCCAATGGATGAGAGGTGATTGCGAAATGACTTACTCATGTATTCTCCCCCTCTGTCCGAGTGCAGAGTCTTGACTTGAAGGCCGGTTGTGTTCTTGATGTGTTCATGTCACACTTTGAATGCTTCGGGAACGAGGTCTTTTGACTCAAGAAGGAAGACCCATGCAAAGCGTGTCTTGTGATCAATGAGTGTCATGATGAAACGCTTGCGTGTGCGACTGTGCCAATGATGTCACTTGAACAAGGTCAAGAGGACTTGAGACTTGAACATTGACGGGGGGATGAGGGTGATGTGCGTGCTTGGCTTCGACGCATGAAGGACATGGAGAAAGAGAAGAGGAAGACTCGGAACTTGGTGTGATGCGAAGAACTTCAAGACTTGCATGAGCGGTGATGGACTTTGAGGTTGATGCTCCAGGGTGACCCAAGCGACAATGCCAAATGTAGGGTGTGGTAGTCGTACCTGGGTAAGGCTTGATAGTAGTTGATGCGGCAGCGGTGTAGCCGTGGAGTCGACGGTACTCCGGGTTCACGTCGAGCTTGAGGCGGTAGAGGCGACCAACTCGCTCGCCACGTGCAATGATAAGTCCCTGGTAGCGTATCTGCACTGAACCACTTATGAAAGAAATGATGCAGTCTTTCTCCTCGAGTTGTCCAACCGATATTAGGTTGGCTCCAAGGTTGGGAACGAGAAGAACTCCTGAAATGGAAACCGGCTTGCCAGTGGGGTTGAGAAAGGTGAGAGTTCCTTCTCCCGCGGTGGGAGTTGACTCCTTGTTGGCGACGGTGACGGACTTAACTCCTGTGGTGGTGAGAGAGTGTAGGAGGGAAGGATTGGGAGTCATGTGTTGGTCGCACCCACTGTCGAGGTACCAAAAGTCGGGATCGAACGACGATGTGGGCGCGGATGAAGTCATGGCAAAGCTTATGCCCTGTGGGGTGCTTTGGGAAGAAAAAGTGGGTGTAGAATTGGAGGGAGTGAGATGGGGAGCTTGAGGTAATGAAGGCGCAAAGCCTTGTGGTGGAGAAGGGTAAAACATGGGCATTGGTTGCATGGGGTAATAGGGAAAGGGATAAGATTGACTTGGGTAGAGTTGTGATGATTGAGGTTGAGGTAAGGAAAATTGTTGAGGCTCATTTTGAGAGCTCGCTGCATATGATAGGGCGGCTCGGCCCTTGGCGGTAAGAAGGTGAGGAGGAGGGGTCCAATTGGGAGGTTTACGAGGACACTTAAACCATGGATGCCCCCATTGGTGACAAAAATGACAAGTAAAATTGAACTTCCCCGATTGGGGCTTAGCCGGTTGAGAGGGATTAGATGAGAAGGGTTGGTTGTATGAGGAACTTGATGACGGGTAGCGACCAAGGAGAGATGGGTTAGAGGACTTACTTGTTTGTCGTTGGTTCTTGCCTTTGTTGTTGTTGTAGTTGTTGTTGTTGTTGTTGTTGTTGCCGTGACCTTGAGTAGAAACGGCGGCCGACCATGCGGGTTTGTTGTTCTCCTCCTTTGCCTTAGCAAGCTCGCGTGTTTGATGCTCGTTAATTAGCGTGTTGAAGATGAAGTCGCGCGTCTTTTGCTTCTCGGGAAAGGCTTGAATTGTGCTCCGCATTTCAATCCATTCCGATGAGAGCCCCGCGAGGAGAATGGTGATGAAGAGCTCCTCGGGAACGGTGACTTCGATGACGTCGGCATCGTTGAGTAGAATCTCCGCGCGCTCCAAGTACTCGGGAATTGTCTCCTTTTGCTCCATCCGCAAGTTGGAGATCTTGCCCCACATTTCCGCCTTGGTGCTCTCGGTGCGAGGTTGATGAAGCCGTGTGAGCCTCTCCCATGCGCGCTTAGCGCTGTCGGGATGACTCGCGCACGTGAGTAATGACTTGGCATATTGATCTTGGACGGAGTTGAGGGGGTAGAGGTAGGCTTCGGCATTCTTCTTGATCCACGCGGTTTGCTCTGTGGGAGGGGCTTCGGAGGAAGGAGGAGAGAGAGAACCGGAGTAAACGGGCCACCACTCTAGGAGAGTGGAGGCCAATTGGAAACGAATTCGCCACGCTTGGAAATCCTTTCCATTGAACCGTGGCACTTCTAGCTTGGGGGTTAGAGAAGAGGGGGTAGACATTTGGGTGTATATAGGAGAGGGGAGAGTAGGAGATGATGAGGTGTCTTTTCCTCCTGTGTTGCCGCTTACTTCGGAGGAGCTTGATTCTCCTTGCGAAGTGGCACTCTTTGGCTTAGAGCCCTTAGGGGTGGGAGTCATGGAGAATGACAAGATAGAAGGTTCTTTCTTGAGGGGATCTTTAGCGGAAGCGAGGAAGTAAATAGCTCTGATACCAGTTAAGAATTGAGATAAGGACAAAGGAATATGATTGCACACTAGAATAAGACAAGAATGAACAGTGGAACTGTAGCATATGTGGATGAGCTTGATAGAAGAGAAGATGATGCTTGGAGCTTGTGACTATAAAGAGAAACTTGTGTAAGATGGAATGCTTGATGAGATAAGAACTTAAGAGAGAAGGAGAGTGTGAGCTTGTTGGGACAATAAGTGATGTGATAAACACTTACTTGAGTGAATCTTACTAGGGATAGTTGAAGAAGTAACTTGAGAGAAGAACTTGAACTTGAGGGCTTTACTTAGGAGTAACTTCAAGCCTTGGGTGGGATGATGGTCCTTCCTTTAGCTTGTAGCTTGGAGCTTTCCTTATACTCAAGTAGAGTATGAGGTAAGCGACTCTTCACTTGATAGCTACTTTGTAGGCTAGGTAGGAGATAACTTTGTGAACATAAACTTATATTGAAAGAGGTATAGTACAAGCCTTATAGATCCATGAGGGATACATAGGCATGCATAGAGAGAGTAACCATCAATGATAGCCTTGGAAGAGAGTTGCATGAGAGTGTCAACTTTGGAGATATAGAACTTGGTTGCTAGTGAGGAGCCTTTGTAGTAGAAGAGGAGCTTGAAGGAGAAGCTTGGGAAGGAGCTTGATGAAGAAGCTTGGAATGCATTGTTGTCATTATAGAACCTTCTTGAGAAGTTGTAGAGATGCTTGATGTAGATGAATAGTGTTGGAGCATGTGGTGGTGGTTGAGCACTTGGTGAGTTGGAGTTGTAGGTCTTGTTGAGTTGGATGAGAGCTTGGATGACTTGGGAAGGAATGAGTGGAGGGGATAGCTGACCTTTGATGTCTTGGAATAGGAGGTGATGGGGTAATTATGAAGTCCTTGAGGGATGAGTTGGCAACTTTGTTGACTTGGGAAAGGAAGGAAGGAAGGAATAAATAAGAGGCATGTGGAGGTTGATGACTAGGAATTGGAAGCATGTGCTTGAAGGCACATGGGAGGAGGATAATTGGAGGGAGTAGATGACTTGGGTAAACTTTGATGAGTAGGAAAGGAAAGCACATGGAAAATCATGAGGAGTCATGTGCCTTATGGTGGGACTTGAGGATGAGTATGGAAAGTTGGTTTGAATATTGGTTGAGTTGGACTAGGAAAGGCTATGGTGGTTGATAGGCTTGAGTTGGAGAGGATGAGTTGGAAAAGGAAGTTTGTAACTTGAGTGGTTGGAATAGGCTTTGGAGGAGTTGAGTGGTTTGGATGGGTTATTAGGAAAATGTGTCGAGGGTGTTTTGAGGGGAAGGGGTTGGAGTGGCACAGTAGCGTGGCACGTGAAGAGCGTGCCATTCACAACACTTTCTCTCCCGCCTCCCTCCTTTCCAGCAAACCGTCAGCTAAAACATACCAGGCAGAAATCCACCTCTGAAAACCACCTCAAATCCGCAGGCTTCCCCCTTTTCCCTGCCATCGTATGTGTCACTTACGTTCCGTGTCCGAGTTACCTTAACATCTTTCTGTCGTTCCGCTTACGAACTGTTCGCTGTTCTGACACCGCAGCAGCCGTTTACTCGAATCACAGCAGTAGAGGTTATCCATGGCCTCCGAAACACCAGTTCCGTCTGAGAGCTCCGGTCCTGGAGCGGCGGCGACAGCGGCGGCGGCGGCGGCTGCAGCCGGCGTAGCGGCTGCGACGACCGAGCGAAACATGGGGAGGGATGAAAAGCCGGTCAAGAGGAAACCTGAAAAGGAGTTGCCAGCTCCTGATTGGCTGCCTGCTGGCTGGCACGTGGTTGAGAAAGTGCGCATTTCAGGCAACTCTGCTGGCACTAAAGACAAGGTGACGACGAGGCCAGACGATTGGTCGAACTCTTGCCTTCCCTCCCCTCGCCGTCCCTCCCCTGCTCGTTCCCTTGAACCGCCACACTCCACTCCCGCGCCCGCTACACCCCACCCCACCGCTCTCAAACGCATCCCGACCCGGAGACGTCCGTGTCTGTCTTTCTTTCCTATTCTTTCCCTTTCTTTCCTTCTTTTTCGCCAATTATTCCAGTACAGGCGTTTCTTTCTTTCCCGGTTTCTCGTGGTCGCTTTCCCTCTCCCCCATCCTTCTCTTTCCTTCTCATTCCCTCTCATTTCCTCTTTTTCGTTGCGCGCCCCTGCAGTACTACCACTCTCCGGATGGCCGTGTGTGCCGCTCCAAGAAAGAGGTGATGGCATACTTGCAAGGAGCGCAGCCTCGAGGGAAAAAGGCAAAGACGAGCGCACACGAGCAGATGCACCAGCGGCGGCAGCAGCAGCAGCAGCAGGAGGAGGAGGAGCAGCAGCAGCAGCAGCAGCAGCAGCAGCAACAACAACAACAGCAACAGCAACAGCAGCAGCAGGAACAACCTTTTTTCACCCCGTGCCCTCTCACCTCCATGGTCATGCCTAATAATCTCGCCTCACCTACCGGGCCTGCTCCTTCTGGGGGGGTGCATCATTGTCATACGGCAGCAGCAGCAGCAACAGCAGCAGCAGCAGCACCGCCCGCCTTTTTCGCGACACCAGCGGCCACTGGTAACCAAGCAAGCGGCGCGTATTCTCATGCTTTTGACGTCGCAGACGCCCGTCCCTGCCATTTCCAGGCTTCGGTCGTGTTCGGGTTCCCTGCTGCCTGCCCTTTCCCCCTTGTGTCGCCCATGTTTCGCTGGCCTTGTGGCTCCAATGAGCCTCGGATGGACACGGGGCGTGGTTCTGTGGGGGGAGAGGGGAGTGAGGCACTGGGGGCGTCAGCATGTGCAGGTCAAGGGCATGAGCAGGCTCAGGGGAAAGCGGAGGTGCAAGGGAAGGTGGAGGTACAGGGGAAGGTAGACATGCAGACAGGGAGTCATGAAGGGCGATTGTGCTCAGGAGCTACACATTGTGAGGTGCCACCACGAGGGGTGGAAGGTGCAGAACAAGCAGCGGCGTGCAATCCTGGTGGCGGCAGCATGTGGGGGGCTGGGTGTGGCAGGGCGAGGAGGAAGCAAAGGGCACGGAGGGATTTGTGGGAGGAGGAAGCAGAGGCAGAGCAGGGAGGAGGGTGGCGCAGAGAAGGGGAGTTTGTTCATCTAGCGGGCGGAAATGAGGGGACTGAGAGGGGGGAGGGGGAGGGGGACTGGAGCGGGGGAAGCAGGAGGGGATTTGTTGAACCAGTGGATGAGACTGTCCGGCAAGATGAGATGGCTGGGACGGAAATGGGAGACAGGGGAAGCATGAAGCTGAAGGTGGGGAGGGCTGGACAGGACGAGTTGGGGGGTGAGAGCGAGGGAAAGGGTAAATGGCGATGGATACATGAGAGTGGATGGAAGACAAATCATGCAGACACGACTGCGTGCCGATTAGAAGCAGGTAGACAGTGGTTTAAGCAGGTGGGAGGTGGTGAATGTGGGGGAGTGGATAGCAGAGAAGATATGGGCGGAGATAATGTGGAGGGTAGGGATGTGAGTGCGAGTGCAAGGGCGAGTGTGCAAGGGGGGTGTATACAGGTGAAAGAGGAGGGTGCATGATTGTATCAAGTGAAAGAAGATGGTGGTTGAAAGCACAGCAAGCAGTCGGTGTTAGTGATGTCAATACAGGTAGAGCGATTAGAAGTGAAAACCTGTTGCTGCAGCGACAGCAGCAGTGTGCACCACCTTGGTTTTACAGTGAACCAATGTTCCTAGTTTTTAGAAGGATCAGCTGTATTCATTTTCCACTGCCAAGGCCATGTACCGGTATGGGTGTATCAGTTTGTTAGAGTATGATCTCCATGCTGACAAATGGCTTGATAAAATACTGGAGCTTACCCTGGATGGGGAGCATGGGCGAGTAGAAGGGAATATCCGATTAAGCTACGCGACGCAAAGAAAACAATGCACTTCGCTACAGCCTACCCTCCACCCTTGCACAGTTGAGATCAGTGAACAGTTATGTTGATTATCGGGAGTATGTAAGTCCCACCTTAGCGAGAATAATTTTGGCTGACAGCTTGGACGGATACGGTGCGCATGCGCATTCCTGCTCTTCTGATGAATCGGACATCAATGAGTGCAGTCACTTGCCGATTCACCAACCTTGCAAATGGGCTTTGTCTGAATTGTGTGTCCACGAAAACCGACGTGTGTGCGCAAGCTTCTGAATGTTTTGGCCAAATAGGCACGTGACACATAGGCCCTCCTAACGACCACAAACGATTTTTGGCTGCTTCCGGGCCGATTTGTGGATCCCGTGCGTTGCAACCGCACGGCAATGAACAGGCCCCCCGGCAATGAACTTCCTCATCCCACATCGGCCCGTTGTGGGATCTTATAATTTCTCTCACTACTATCATTTCTACAACCCGGTACGTCAGGGCATCCTGGAAACATAGCCCATAAATTCCCCCTAAGAGCGTGTTACGTACCTCGTTTGCTGGTTGCCTCGACCGGCCAATTTGGAGTTTGGAAACTCTTCGGTTTTATGCGTTACGATATAGACCCACCTCTGTAATATACGGTGAACCTTGCTGGTTGCGTCGACCGTCGCTCGGTTGCCTCGACCGGCCACCGAAAAGTGGGGTACGTGACACGCCCTAAACAACCCGAATTGACGAACGACACTCGACAACGGCCCGTTGAATGTTCCGTCCATTTTTCCGAGTAAAAACTCCAAGCACCAATACAGAGAGATACGTAACAGAGTATTATTGTACGGTTCTGGTGTCTGGAGCACAATTTTCCACGGTTCTGGAATCTGGATTCTCACGGGCAAGCGCCACTGAATTCAAGGGTCGGGTTTGTACAATGAGCTTGGGCACCCTGCCTCCAGCACTCGGTCAACTTCGACTCGTCAAAATTCGTCCCAGATTTTCATGGCGAATGTGCACCTGCTGCTGGACAACTTGTCAGAAAGAGCTGCGCTGCGTCAGGGATTGCCCAACTGTCAAGCCCATGCTTTCAGTTCAGCTGCGTTACGTTACAACAACCACCACAACAAGCTACAGTTCACTCAGTCAGGGGGAGAAATTAGTGTCGATTGTCTTTTCAAGGTCCGTGCCCAGGCTACACCCTTTGATGAATGCAAGTTTTGTTGAATGTCTTTGTTGTATTTTGAACACACTTGAGGCCCACAACATGGTTCTATGATCAGCTTTCCCAAGGCCGACCAAAATGCTATTTTGTTTTTACACACAATAAAATGCTTGGGGCATTGCCCATTATCATGGACACCCATTCGTTATGCCCGAACTTTTCCAGAATATGTTCTCCCTGGAAGTCGTTCTTGATGGGAATTTCCACGTCCTGGCGCCGCCAGTCAGCCATCCTTGAAAAGCCCAAATGAGTTGGCGCTGGCTGTGATTGCGGTGTCGACCGCATCTGAACCGTTCGAGCGTGACCCTTCCACATCATCCATCCGTTAGTTTGTATCATTATGAGGCACGCCGCGTGCAGTGGCCTCCCTCCCTCCCTCGCCTCTCCCCATATACCACAAAACCTCGGGACGGGAGTGACGCAACGCATTATGTACAGTAGAAAGTCTCCCGTTTGCGCTTTTCCTCCCCCCCTCCCTCAATCCGCCTCCATCCTCCTGACTTTGCTCTTGCTTCTTTCCACCAGGGGTGCCTGGCTTCAAGAGGGAGAAATGCACATAGCCCAGAGACCCTCATAACGCTGCCCTCACTTCTCCAGCAGATTCCCCCACCCTTCTCAACCAACTACATAGCCCAGAGACCCAGAATCCAATCAGCGAGTGCGTGAACTCTCTCATGGGGTCACGCTCTTTCTCGCTGTGCAGATGAACGCAGTCCAGCCTGTCGTGTGGGTTACGTACACATTCCCTTGAATCAAATCATCCGCCTCTTCTCGTCACGTCATAACTCATGACATGAGCTAGCCTTGGCTTTCATGCTCACCGCACACTCACCTCGCGTCGCCTCATCCCCATTGTTGCTTCTCTCACCTCTCACCTCTTCATAGTACAGGACAACCCAGCTTCCATTTCCAATTTCTCATGCCGCCACCTGCTGCTGCTGTACTCCCTACTGCATTCCGCACCTGTTTGTCCGTTCTTTCCCTCTAGTGCTCGCCTCCCCCGTGTATCCACACTTCCGCCACTGATGTTATTAGGAGCTTCGTTGGAAAAACGGCTCGCCATCACTCCCCTTTACCGCCCACCATATCCATTCAGCGCCTTCCAGAACCAACTCGGCGCATTTCCCGTCGCTCACAGCGCGTCGCACGCCTCTCGCCCACCTCCACCGCTCCGTTTCGTGCATGCATAGTCTCCCGAAATCAGGGAGACTCAGATTCTAGAGTCCCTCCAGCGAAACAATCTCCACCCACTCAGCCTTCGAACAAGCGTCGTAGGAGCTTCGTTTACGAGCATCATAAGCGACCAGCAGTAGCTCCTTATTCTCGAGGCGCGTACGACTAAACACGCCTCATTCGTTCTTACTAGAACCCCGCAGTATCTCCCTGTACTAGTGTCAACCTCGAAATCAAGAACTGGCTCGTAGGGCGCGTTCTCACACTCTACCAGCTTAGATTCTCCCAAGGTGTCAACCAGATCTGTCCCACGGGCCCGAACCCCCGCATGCGACGTCGCTGGTCAGTGCTTTATCTCCTGTCACCCGATAAGCTTTGGTTCCTCCATCGTGCAAACCACCAGCTAGAACCGGTACCCACCTTGGCATATCATCCCTAGGAAACCAGAATCCGAACACCAGAGTGACGGAAATAACAGTTCCTCCGCTGTCCTCTGGAACTACTCTTTTACGTGGTTGCGGTTGCATCGCTCTCGGGGACGACTGCCCGGAATTCACTGCCCTTATTTTACTGTCCTTCTGCCCGTAACGCGAGAAGCGTGCGAGCGAGTGTGCTCGCACCACCACGCGCTCCGCTGCTTACTTCTCCAGAGGCTCGTCAGCCATGGCGGATGCTGGCGCGGGCGGCGGCGGCGGCGGCGCAGTGAAGCCGCCGAGTGAAGTGAAAGTTCTGGTGGCGGAAGACAACCCTGTTAGTACTCCCGCTTTTTTTCCTTCCCTCTCACTCTCCCCTCGTTCCGCCGAGCTCTTACCCTCATCCGTCTGCCTTTCTCCGTCGGTTCTTCCCCCATTTCCCTCTCCTTCTCTCTCTTGGTCTTCCTCTCTCGTTTCCGTGTCGCCATTCCCGGGGATTCTCGGCGGCCTCGTCTCCGCATTTGCTCCCTCGTTGCCTCGCTCCCTGTCTCCTCCCACCTTCCTTCTCCGTCGTTCTCCCTCCCTCTCTCCGCTCAACTCGCTCTCCTCGCTCCCCGTCTCCACCCCGTCTCACCGCATTTCACACCCAACTCACTCTTCTCACTCCGTCTCAATCCGTCTCACCGCGTCCCACCCCGGCAGGTCAACGTCATGGTTCTACTGTCAATGCTCAAGCGCCTCGCCTTTAAGCCTGTGGTCGCCAAAAACGGCGTCGAGGCGGTCGAAGCCGTCGAGAAGACCAAATTCGATATTATTCTCTCCGATATATGCATGCCGCTGATGGACGGCCTGACTTCCACGTGTCTCATCCGCGAGTACGAGCGCACGGGCGTGTTTCCGCGCGAAGCCATTCAGAAAGCGCGCGCGTCCGGCGCCCCCGCGGGGAACGAGAAGGAGGGCGCTGCGAACTGGAGCCCCGGGGACGGCGCGGCGGGGGAAGGCGGAAGCGAAGGCGGAACCGGGGAGTTCCGCCCGCGCACACCGATTATCGCGGTGACCGCGAACGCGCTTGCCGCGGACCAGGAGCGATGCGCGGCCGCGGGAATGGATGGGTTTCTTGCGAAGCCCGTTAATTTCCCGAAGCTTAAGGAGCAGCTCGTAAAGTACGGCGTGCTGGCTCCGGAAGGAGCGGCGGCACCCGCTGCGCCGGCGGCGGCTCCCGCCGCAGCCGCGCAAAGGGCAGGCGGAGCTGGCGCGGGGAGAGGCGGGGGGAGGCCGGCAATAGTGGATTCAGACGAGGAGGAGGGGAGTGAAGGTGAGGAGGAGGGGGAGGAGGAGGAGGAGGGGAGTGAAGGCGAGGAAGGGGAGGAGAGTGAGGAAGAAACGGGGAGTAAGCGGGCATCTGGAGCAGCGCGCGCAACACCGGCGGCATCAAAAGCTTCATCGTCGGCAGCAGCAGCAGCAGCAGCAGCAGGAGCAGGAGCAGCTGCTGCAGCTACAGCTACGTCATCGCCTTCGTCACCTGAGGGTCCGGTGAAAGCTGGTGCCGGTGCAGCTAACAGAACCCCGGTCAGAGGCCCACGGCGTGGCGAGGACGAGGAGGAGGAGGATGATGAGGAGAGGGAGGAGGAGGGAGACGAGGAGAAGGAGGAGGAGGAGGAGTTAGCTGATAATGCGGAGCGGAAGCTTAAGGAATCTCAGGATCGCGGTCGCGGTGATTCCCCTGCTGCACCGCCGACAGCAGCAGCTGCTGCTGCTGCTGCTGCTGCTGCAGCTGCTGCTTCAGAGGGGAATGGAGTGATGGCGAATGGGGTAGCAAATGCTGCTGAGCGAGGAGCCGATGGTGGTGCGAAGGAGGCTGGAAAGAAGGAGCAGGAGAAGGAGGAGCAGAGGAAGCGGAGGGAGAGGCAGAAGAGCATGGAGGAGGGGTTGCTAGGCGCCCAGGCTGCTCTGGCTGCTGTTCGGGAGACGCGCGAGAGGGAGATGGAGGAGGAGCGAGCTAGAGAGAGACAGAGGGTGGAGGAGAGGGAGAGGGAGAGGGAGAGGGAGAAGGAGAGGGAAATGGAGAAGGAGGTGAGGAAGGAGAGGGAGAGAGAGAGGGGGGAGAGGAAGGAGAGGGAGAGAGACAGCAGCAACGGCAGTAGGAGGAGCGGTAGCGCGAGCAGGCACAGGGAAGGGCGGGGCGGGGAAGGCGGAGGCAGCAGCAGCAGCAGAGGCGAGGGTAGGGGCGGAGAGGGCAGCAGGGAGGGCAGCAGGGAGGGCAGCAGGGACGATCTGGGCAGGAGCAGCGGCGGCAGCAGCGGCGGGTTGACTCACGAGGAACGGAGGGAGCGCAGGCGCGAGCGGAAAGCAGCTGAAGCCACTGCCGCCGCCGCCGCCGCCGCAGCCGCTGCAGCGGCAGTCGCAGCAATGCCTGGTTTCTCCACTTCCTCCTCCTCCCACCACCACCGCCACCACCGGCGCCAGCAGCAGCAGCAGCAGCCGCAGGACCCCAGGAGCGGCCTGTTGACTAAAGGCGTCTTGAAAGGTAATGGTCGTGGGGAGGAGCGAGCAGATTTGGATTCACAGGTGCCGTATGTGCAGCAATGGGTGGAGCAGGTAGGTGCTCTGGGTCCGTTGGGGCAATACGGCCTCTCTGGTGCTGTCAACACTGCTGGGGAAGGGAAAGGGGACGGGAAAGGCGAAGGGGAAGGGGCAGTGCGGCGGGTTTCGCCCCTGGGAAGAAGGGCGGATGGGGCGTGTGCTTCTGGTGTGAGAGCGGGGACGGGGGTGGGGGGGGAGCTGGTGTGGAGAGAGGGAGGGGGAGATATGGGCCTGGTAGCGGTTGGGAGTGCTGCAGGAGTGGGAGGTGGTAAGGAGAAACGCCTGTCGCGGCGGCACAGGAGGCTATCCGGAGAGTTTTCTTTGGAGGGAGTGGGGGAGAGAGTGAGGGGGGGAGATCGGGTGCACCACTCGGGTCCTCTTCCTGTTGTGTCCAACTCGCTTACGGCTCAGCTGCAAGCCCTGCAGGCGCAGCAGGAACAGCTGCAGATGCAGCTGCAGCAGCTGGAACAGCAGCAGCAGCAGCGCGAGCAGCAGCACCAGCAGCGGCAGCAGCTGCTGCAGCAGACTCTGGAGCAGCACCAGCAGAGGCAATCGCCCCCACCACAGCTGCCGCAACAGCACCAGCAGCACCAGCAGCAACAGCAGCAGCAGCTAAACGCGTTCGGCTCTTCGTCTTCGCTCCCACAAGCAGTGTCCAACGAAGGTCAGTTTTCGGATTCCCTTCTTTATTCTGGTTCTGCAGGGGCTGCTGCTGCCGCTGCAGCAGCAGCCTCAGCCGCAGCTGCCGCAGCAGGAGCAGCAGGGTGGGGAGGAGGAAGAGGAGGTGCGTTTGGAAGCAAGGAGTCATCTGAAGAGGAGGATGCAGTAGCATCCCACGTCCCTTCTCTCATCTCGCTCTCCTCCTCCTCCTCTTCTTCCCTCTCCTCCTTGGAGCAACAATGCTGCCAGAGCGGCCGCAGGCGCCGTAGCACTCTCTCTCATGCTGACCGTTACAGCAACAGCAGCAGCAGCAGCAGTAGCAGCAGCAGCCTGCTTTCTGCTGCCACTGCTGCTGGTAGGTCGGGTGGTGAAGGTCCCATTGCCGCACCTGCTCCTGCTCCTGCTGCTGCTGCTGCTGCCAATGCTCTGCTTCTCTTGTTGCTTGCTGTTGTTGCAGTCCTCATGCTATTTCTAGGAACCACTCCGACAATCGTATGTTGTCTCACCCTGTCTCCTCTCCTCCCTTCTTTCCCGCCCACTGCTGTTCCTGGTTGCTTGCTTCTATTCAGGGGTCACGTCGACAAACCCTTCTGCTGCAGCGGCGGCGGCGGCGGCAGCGGCAGCAGCAGCAGAAGCAGCGTATGCCGCCACGTTAGCTGCAGCGCAGGGGGCAGCGAGAGCAGTAGGAGGACGGGGAGTAGGGGGGCTAGGAGGAGGAGGAGCAGGCTCGGCTTCGGGCGTTGTGCTGGGTGCAGGGTTGCACCAGGACGGCATGTTGCCAAGCATGCAGCTGCAGCACCAGCTGCTCTTGCAGCAGCAGCAGCAGCAGCAGGAAGAGCAGCAGCAGCAGCAGTACCAGGAGCAGCAGTTGATGTCACGGGCAACACACGCCGCTGCTGCTGGCAGCAACGGGAGCTACGACAGCTGTGGCATGGGCTTGGGCATGGGCATGCAGGAAGGAGGGCAAGTCAGGAAAGTCTCGCCTGTGCCGCATAGGCTGAGAGAATCAGCCATGGCTGCTGGTATTGGTGGTGGTGGTGGTGGTGCAGATGAATTGATGGATCCTGAATTTGACCAGGAGGGGGGTCCTGCTGTCTATGGAGCCATTCTGTGGCCTCACGGGTCGGGCAGGATGCTTCTGCCCGAGAAGGCATCTCGCTCCCACTCACACGAGCTCAGCCGCAGCAGGCTGCACCGGGAGCAGCAGAAGCAGCGGGAGAGGGGTGGCGGCGGCAGTGGCAACGGCAGCAGCGGGGAGGAGCTTGACGGGCATGCGGACGTGGCTCGACGCTCCTACTCACACACTCACACTCGCTCCGCACACGCCCACTCACACTCACACTCGCACTCGCATTCACACTCAAACTCCCCTGTGCGGTCCCATAGCCCTTCTTACTCTACTGGCCTGGGAGCCAGTGGGCTTGGAAGCCATGGGATGAGTGCTGCTAGCCTGGGCCGGAACGGGGAAGCGGCTGCGTCAGCAGCAGCAGCAGCAGCAGCAGGAGGCAATTCGTCTCTAATGTACGGTCCTGGGAGCAAGTCTATAAGCTCTCTGGGGCGCCGGCAGTCCAGCAATCTGTCCGCGACTGCTGCTGCGGCTGCGGCGGCGGCTGCGGCTGTGCCTCAAGCAGTGCGAGACTCCCTGTGGGATGAGAGCAACGGTGGAGGCGGGTCTCGGTCTAACAGCCCGTCTGCTGCTCTGCGCCTGCTGCAGCAGCAGCAGCAGCAGATGGCGGGGATGATGGGGCATGGTGGTATAGAGGGAATGGGGATGGGGATGGGGATGGTGGGAGGGAGAGGGGAGAAGTGGGCTAGGGAGGAGGCGCTGGTGGCGGCAAGGCTGGAGCTGCAGCAGCGTGTGCAGAGGAAGAGCAGGGCTAATGCGCCACTTTCGGCCAGAGTTGTTACGGATCTGAATTCTGTTGCGAGTATGGTGATTAATCCATACCACTAGCAGATAGGAGTTCATGGTGGTACTGTGCGGTAACATTTCATATCGCATGTGAACATTGCTACCGTACCTTAGTTTCCGTTGCCATATTTTTGTGTGTGTCTAACGGGATTGCCATGAGGTTGTAAATTATTTTTGCTGTACGTGTCTTTCCTACCATGTAGCAGCTGCATATCCAGGAAGCAGGGAACCTGGAAAAGCCCCCAGGTTTAACCCCCTGGTGTAGGTCATACACGGTAGACTCATACCCCCCTGAAGGTTCTACAATCAAGAAAGTGCCAACCAATCTGCACCTGCTATTTGGAGGTTCAGGTAAGCAAGACAGGTGGAGCATGTAAGCACAGGCTGCTAGAGTGACCCAGTGTTACGAGTGCAATTGAGTGAGCGAGCGAGAATTGCACTATCGAAGCAAGAGTACAATGAGCGAAGGTATGAGCGAAGAATATATAGCGAAACTACAGTGGTAACGGTAATGTGTGGAAATTGGGGTGCGCGACGGGCCTGGTGCCGAGGTTGGGAAAGTGTCGAGGCGGAGGTCCGGAGCGCGGGTTACCAACCGAACCGTGAGGTTGGGTCGCGTCGTGAACGGTGGCGGGAATGGTGTCGAAGTGAGTGTCGCGAGTGGTAACGGTTTACTGTTGGGTGCTGTGGGTGGGAACAGTGGTGTACGCGCTGAGCAGGGACGCGAAGTAAGGAAAAGGAATTTTCCTTACACTACCCCCCTCCCCAAGGAGGCCCCTCTTACGAGAGCGCGTGTACACCTCTGAAGTTTCGGCTTCGCAGATACTCGGTGAGGACAGGGTGATTCTCAATTCTATCCAGGGGGACCCAGTTGTCTTCGGTGGGCGTGCGGTCCTTCCAGCGGATCAGGAATTCGATCCTGCGGGCTCCCCGTGGGTCACGTACTCGATGGCTTAGTATTTTCTCAGGCGTGATGATTGGCTCAGTCGGTGGTCGGGTCATGCTGGCGGGGCGGTTGCGAGGCAGTTGGCTGGTGGATGGCACGTATGGGCGAAGCAGGCTGACGTGGAATGACGGGCTGACGTACCAGTCAGCAGGGAGGAGGAGGTGGGCGGTGACGGGTGTGATCATGTGGCTGATGCGAAATGGCCCGCAATATCGGGGGCGGAGTTTCGGGGTGATGGGCAGGCGGAGGTTTTGGGTGTCGAGTAGGACTAGGTCGTCTGGCTGGTAAGTGACGGGGCGGCGGTGTCGGTCGGCGTTGCGCTTAGCGATGACGTTTGATTTTTTTATTGCTTCTGCTGCTCGGGTCCGTGCTGCTTATAATAACTCTGCGAACTGTTGTGCGCGTGGGACTGGGTTGTCGGGATTCGGGGTCATGGGTACTGTGGGGTCTTGTCCGTAGTTCAGGTAAGACGGTGACTGTTGGGTCGTGGCGGATGGTGAGTTATTGTATGCGAATTCGATGAGTGGCAGTTGCTGTTCCCACGTGGTCGGGTCGTCGCACGTGGCCCGGATGAGCTGTTCCATGGACTGATTTGTCCGTTCTGTCTGTCCGTCGGTTTCGGGGTGGTACGATGAACTGAATTGCAGTCGCGTGCCGAACTGCTGCCACAGGTTCCGCCAGAAATTGCTGGTGAATTTCGTGTCTCTGTCGCTGATGATCGATGCTGGTATCCCGCGTAGTCGTACGACGGTGGTGATAAAGAGGCGGGCTGTTTCTTCGGCTGTGATTGATTTCTTGCAGGCTGCGAAGTGTGTCATTTTCGTCAGTCGATCGACGACGACCAGGATCGCGTCATTCCCACTCGCTCCGGCCGGTAACCCCGTGACGAAGTCCATTGTCACCTGCTGCCAAGCACGCTCTGGGGGTGGGATCGGCTGCAACTGTCCTGCCGGCCGCTTCCGTGATGACTTCATGATCTGGCAAGAGGGACACGATGCCACGTGTCGTTGCACGTCGGTCAGCATCTCGGGCCAATAGTAATACCGCTGCAGCTGCTGCCGTGTTTTCTCTACCCCGAAATGTCCCGAGGTAATTCCGTCGTGTGCCTCCTGTAACAGTAATTCCCGTAGCAGTGTGTACCCCGGTACCCAGATGCGGTGGGTCCCGGCTTTTACGTAATAGACTCCCTTTGCTGCTGCGAACTGCTGCGAATTTCCTCCTGTGAAGAATGGGTCCGTTTGGTACCCGTGGGTAAATAGTCCTGTCAGTAGCGGGCTGGTCTGGGCGAGTAGTATCGCATGGATTTGGGCAGTGGGGCGGGTCAGTGCGTCAGCGATGTTGGATGCTCCTTTTTTGTAGGTGACTGTGTAGTGGAAGTTGGACTCGAGAAAATCGAGCCAGCGGATCTGTCGGGGGTTGAGGTGGGGCTGTGCGCGGAGGTACTGTAGTGATCTGTGGTCTGTCCGTACTGTCACGTCTGCGCCGGTCAAATAACAGCGCCAAACCTTGAACGCATGCACGATCGCGAGCATTTCGCGGTCGTGTATCGGGTAATTCTTTTCGGGCGGATGCAGCTTTCGTGACTCGTAGGCGATGGGCTGTAGGCCGTTGCCGAAATCCTGTAGCAGTACGGCTCCAATGGCGATGTCGCTTGCGTCGGTTACTACTTCAAAAGGGCGGTGTGGGTCAGCGATGCGCAGTACGGGCGGTGAACAGAGAACAGTTTTCAGGGCAGAGAAGGCAGCATGCTCTTTCTCCCCCCACGTAAAAGTGACCCCCTTCCGCAGCAGATCCGTCAGTGGGGCTGTTAATTGTGCCATGTCGGGGACGAACCGACGTACATAATTAACGAACCCTAAAAAACTCTGCAGCTCCGTGATGTTTGTCGGGGGGTGCCATGCTTTTACCGTGTCCAGCTTCTTCGGGTCGATTTCAACCCCAGCCTCCGAAATTACATGCCCAAAAAATTATAACCTATCCTGGAAGAACTCGCACTTGGAACCCTTGGTCAGTAGGCGGTGCCCGTCTAAAATCGTAAAAACCGCTTCCAGATCGGCTAAGTGCTGCTGCTTGTCGCGACTGTAAACGAGGATGTCGTCGAGGTAAACTATCACGCATTTATCTAAAAGTGGTCTAAACGCCTCGTTCATGGTCATCTGAAACGTTGCCGGTGCGTTGGTCAAACCGAAAGGCATCATTGTGTACTCGAACGACCCGTACCTAGTCCGAAATGCTGTCTTGGTGCAGTCTGATGGTTCGACCCTAATCTGATGGTAACCTCCCCGTAAATCTATTTTCGAAAAAACCCGTGCTGTTCGCAGTTGGTCTATCAGTTCGTCGGCGCGGGGAATGGGGAATCGCGACTTGACTGTTACCCGGTTCAGTGCTCTGTAATCGATGCACATGCGAAACCCTCCATCTTTTTTCGGTGTGAACAGTATCGGTGCGGCGAACGGTGACGAGCTCGGTCGGATGAATTTTTTCTCCAATAGGTAATCTAACTGCTTCCTTAGTTCGTCGAGCTCGGGTTGTGTCAGTCTGAACTGTCGCTGTACGGTTGGCTGTGCCCCCGGTTCTAACTCTATGCGATGGTCGTGTGCCAGCTGAGGTGGCAGTCCCTCCGGTAAATCATCCGGAAAAATCCCCGGGTACCGTTTCAACAGTTCCTGCAGTTCGGGCGGTACCGCTGCCAGCAGTTTCTGAAAATCACTCGGCTGCTCTGCTTCTCCTATCAATGCTATATCCACTGCGTACACGTCAGCTCCAGCGGCGACAGCCCGTTTCATCGTGATGGCGTTGACGTGGACCGTTGAAGACTCGGGCGACTGCCAGCGAGGTAGCACGACCCAGTTACCGCTACTTCGCACAGTGCAGCTACCCGTCGTCCAGTCAATTCGCGGGTTATACCGTCGCAGCCAATCACGTCCCAGTAAAATGTCGTGCCCATCTAATGTCGTCGCGAGCATTTCCTGTGTAAACCCAAAGTTCCCCCCGCAGCGGACCTTTATTCTCTCCACCTTCTCCCGTATGGCCAGCGGCGTTCCGTCCACTAAGCGTGCATCTATTTTCGGTAAACACCGACTAAGTGTCAGTTCCAGCTTCCGTGCGGTTGCGGTATTAATTAAGCTGTGGCTTGCTCCTCCGTCGATAAAGATCTTCACTGCTGCTCCCTGTATTTTCCCGTAAATCAGTACTGGGCAATCCGTCGCTGTACCCTCCTTATTCATCCGAGCCCGATCGATAGCGTGAATCGGTACTGTGACTCGGTGAGGGTCGGTGCGGTTGGGCGAGCAGGCAGTCTCGTCAGTAGTTGGCCCAACTTCTACTGACTGCTGGCGTTTCCCTGCCTCTGAGACTCCCTCCCCTGCTCTGCTCCGCGGCGCCTCAGCTCCTCTGGGCACTCGCTCTTGCGATGGCCCGGCCTGTTGCAAGCAAAGCAGCGCCCCTTAAACGGTGCAGCAGCTGCATTCGTCGCAACTGCGTGTACAGTGGCGTGCTCGGTCGGTCCCCGAGGACGATGTCCGTAGTAGGACCCCGGTCTCGGTCGGCGTAGAATGTCGATTTTCTCGGCGAGCGCGAGAATCTCGTTGAAGTTCGAGAGTCCGCGCAGCATGATCTCGTGCGAGATATCCGGCTTCAGCCTCCAACATAACGGTCCACCCGCTCCGCTTCGTGCATGTAGCCGACTTGCTCGCAAAGTGCGAGAAAACCGCTCGTGTAATCTTGAACCGACCCGAGCTGCCGCCAAGTGCGCAATCTCTGACGCGCCGAAATAGGAGCCGCGATTGGCTCGAAGCGCGCCCGAAGCCCTGCGCACCACGCATCCCACGTGCTGTATTGGGCGGTCTCGCAAAATGAACTCCAGGTGACAGCTGGACCCGTGGGCCCTTCCTCTTGCGACGGTGGCTCGTAGGCGCGTGGCGACGTCACGATGACTCGCCACCAGTCCATGGCGGGGCCCCTTAGCAGCGAAACGGCATACCGAATCTTCGCTGCGTCCGACTCGACGTAATTCGCGTCGAAGAAGACGTTCATCGTGAACACCCACGATTGAACCGTCGGACCTCCACGCTGGCTCGGGTCGAAGCAGGGCGGGCGTTGCGGCTTGAGTGGCATTGGTGCCATAATGGCCTGTTCGCCACTTGTCGCCGCAAACTCCACGTGCCGACGGGCTTCGCGAGGCTCCCGCGGGCTTGGCGCGACCCTGTTTCCTCCCATGCCGGGCATTGGTTGGGCGGCGCTATCACTGGCTGCACCTGAGCGCTGTCCCACGCTGTCGTGTTGTGTTGGTGTACCGGACGAGATGACGATTGGCTCGTCCGATTGTGCAGGTGCATTTGTTGATGCGTGTGGTGCTGCTGGAGTGTTCTCCGAAGATTGCTGACGCGCGGAGTCACGTTCCGCCGTGAGCGTCGCAAGTTCGAGTGCCGAATCTTCAACTTGGCGCACCAGACGGTCGAGTTGCTCCTGCGTCAAGGTCGCGAGATTGAATTCGGCCATGGTGGGGGTGTCGGGCAAGCTCAGCGAGAGCCTCGGTCGTGGCCGTGCGTGCTTACGAGAGAGCACTACGGGCGGCGGTGCTGTGTCGCTGAGAGACGTCTACCCCCCCCAAAAAATTGAGATAGTGGGGAAGCGAAGGTGTGGGTGCGGTCCGAGAAGAGATCGTAGGCTCTGAATACCAAGTGTTACGAGTGCAATTGAGTGGGCGAGCGAGAATTGCACTATCGAAGCAAGAGTACAATGAGCGAAGGTATGAGCGAAGAATATATAGCGAAACTACAGTGGTAACGGTAATGTGTGGAAATTGGGGTGCGCGACGGGCCTGGTGCCGAGGTTGGGAAAGTGTCGAGGCGGAGGTCCGGAGCGCGGGTTACCAACCGAACCGTGAGGTTGGGTCGCGTCGTGAACGGTGGCGGGAATGGTGTCGAAGCGAGTGTCGCGAGTGGTAACGGTTTACTGTTGGGTGCTGTGGGTGGGAACAGTGGTGTACGCGCTGAGCAGGGACGCGAAGTAAGGAAAAGGAATTTTCCTTACACCCAGCTATTACCGGTAACTGCAGGTCCAGTTCCTTATGGCCCTGTTGATTAACAGTAGGTACACATGGACGCTTCCTGCCTTGAATTATTGGATGATGGAAACACGGATGTCTTGTGACAACATTCCTGTTTGTTGAGCTACAGTACAGCTTGGGTCCGTTACAGTTATTTTTTTACCAACTTTGCTCGAAATAATTGACAAGTACATGTTGACAAAACACCACAACAGCAGTAATACATAGCATACAACCGTAATGCGCTAATCTACCTAATTTCAAACTCCTAAATCAAGAAAACCGCTGCTGCTGCGCGCTCCTTGCTCCGCCGCCTACCCAACCTAGCAGCTTGCTACACACAGGAAACCAGGGACAAATCGACGAGGCGAGGGAGCACAGGGTGATCAGCCGTGAACAGAGACGTGAATTTTGCGAAGGAGCAGTAAAGGAACATAACAGACAAGTAAAGAGGAGGCAAGCGGCAGAGCAGGGAATGTCGAAACTTGCGTAACCCCAGTCGGCCATAAATAACGGCGCGCGGCGTTTTAAGAGCCTCTTGACGCTGTTCGGTCTCCAGCAGATTGCCTCTCTCCATGAACTCAGCCCGAGAGCGAGCGGAGGAAGCATACAATTTAGCTAGGAGCCGTTAATGCATAAACGGAAAACAGGAACAGCTTACCAGCTTCGAAAACGCTAGGAGAAAGGCAAGCCACGGCCTGGCACAGCACCGAAGAGCATGGCAGAAGTTTTATGGTATGAGCTGAGGATGGAAGAGATGAGGCTGAAGAAGGAAACACTTGGGGGAAGATGACAGGGAGGCAAGCATTTATGCTAGGATCAGAGATCGAAGGGATGGGTGGGTAGCAAGCGGGCAGAGATTTGCACTAGCGAGTGGGGCAATAACGAGCTGTGCGTAAAGTGGATGGCGGCGATGAGATAACATTGGGGGGGTCTGCAAACCCCCAGGGTTTACAACAACCCGGAAGTTAGGGATTTGTACAAAACTCTAGTGCAAAATTCAAAACGTTTCACAGCTGAATGTTAGCAATGCTCATTGCAATCAGTCAGGACAGTTTCCTACAAAGGATGTTTGCAGCAAATGGTATGCAGAACACATTTAAAACAAGAAACGAAGAAAACAACTAGATAATTCCCTACCATCCACCTCTCCCACCCCATGCACCTCCTCCTGTGCCTCCACCACCCCCTCCACCACCACCACCACTGGCACCACCAGCAGCCTCAGCCCAGCTGCTCGGCGGCCCCTCTGCTTCCCTCCCATTCAGCGGGCCCAGAAGCGCAGCAGCAGAGCCGTCACCCATCCTCACCGTTATACCCTTGTTCCTACGACCCTTGCTCCTCTGTCCCCCACCGGTACCCCCTCCTGCTGCTCCTTTTCCTGTCAATGTACCTTTGCATGCATTGGGGTTGACAGACCCGCACGCAGCGCAGCAGAGAACAATCGGTTCGTTGATGAGCGTACAGATGCCGCAAGCCCAGCTGTCGCTCTCTGATTGGTCAGTGGGCTTGGTGTTACGCGCTGCAGAAGCACTGTTCAGCGTAGCATGGTTAGCTAGCGAGGGCATGGAAGGGGCAGAAGACGAGGAGGAAGAGGAAGACGCAGCTTTTTTCCCTTGCTTTGCCCCCCCTGCAGCGGTAACTCCACCACCACCCACACCATCTCCACCCCCAGCACCCCCAGCACCAGCACCCGCCATCCCTCGCATCATCGCCTCTTTCTGCGCGTGCGCCTGCAGCATTTCCTCTCTCTTCCTCGCATCCGGGCACAGCCGGGCGAGCTGAGGCACCACATGACCAATCCCCAAGCGGCACAGGTGAGCATAGAACACCACAGTCACCATTTTCCCTGCCTTGAACTGCACTGACTTGTCCTTAAAGTCCTCAAACTTGCCCTTGTCGCCTCCCAGGGTAGACCTGATCTCCTCTATCACCGCCCGGTTCGCTGCGCGGAACTCTGCTTCGTCTAGCTGCTGCTGCCCGTCCCGCTTGCTCTGATCCTCCTCCTCCTCCTTTCCTGAATAACCGTTCTCCTTACGTGCCGCTGCCGCCGGTGCTGCTACTGCTCCTGCTGATCGTGACTGCTATGCCCATCCGGGAAAAGATGACAGATTAATACTGCCATTAAGCCCTTCTTCCTCACTCTCCCCCTCACTCCCCCCCTCACTCTCTTCCTCACTCTCCTCGTGGCCTGCAGACAGGAGAGAGAAAGCTGAGGGGGTTACAGCCAGCCCACTGTCACTACCACCCACTCCAATCCCCACTCTACCGCCATGCTCCCTCCCACTAACACCCACCATGGCCCATCCATCCACACTCCCCCCATCCCCATATCCCCCACCACCACCACCACCGCCACCACCACTATTTCCACCACCACCCCCATCCCCAACGCTCCGCCACACCCCCGAGCCTCCCGTGTTGGCTTGGCGACCAATAGGTCCGGCGGCATTGAGGACTTGAATGCCGCCCCTCGCCCCCCTTGCAGGAAGCCCGGTCCACCCACTGCCCTTCTTCCCTCTACCCCCTTTCCTCCCCCCTCCCCCTGCCATGCCCTGATTAGTGACACTGTTCCAGCCCGCATCAGCCATGAGAACAGCAGCCATTGTCGCCCCACCTGCTCCTCCTCCTCCTCCTCCTCCTGCACCTGCTGGTGAATTCCCTCTGCTGCGGCTGCTGCTGCTGCCTGCGCCGCTTGACATGCCTCCCCCTGCCCCTCCCCCGCCCGCCCATGCTCTCCCCTTGCTCTTCTTTTTCCCTGTGCCAGCGGCGTTGGGGAGCGGCGGAAACAGCGCATCCACCACAGCCCCTGGCGTAGCGCCTGCATGAGCCCTGTCCACATACGCTGCACCGGCACCACCACCACTACCACCTCCACCACCGCCGCCGCCGCCGCTGCTGCTACCGCCAGGACCAGTTCCGTCCGCATTGCTACCAGCCACACTGGAAGAGAGAGACGGAAAGGCTTCCGCTCTACTCTCACTCCCCCCACGGCCCCCTCGCTCAGCAGCAGCAGCAGCAGCAGCAGCAGCAGCAGATTCCCTTAGAGCAGCATCCACCATTGCGAGCTCTATACTAGCTGTAAATGCATCTCCATCACTCACTCCCCCTCCCCCTCCCCCTCCGCCTCCCCCTCCCCCTCTCCTTCCCCTTCCGCCTCCACCTCCGCCTCGCCCTCTTCCCCCCCTGCCTCCCCCCCCTGCTCCCCCCCTGCCCCCCTGACTGTGGGCGTGCAGGGACATGTGGGGGCCAGATGTAGAGTATGACTCTGCTCCTGGCCCTTCGGAGTTGGTGCGAGGCGTGTGGAAGTTGAACAGCTGAGACGCTGGGATCTGGGGAAGGGGAGAAGAGAGGAGGTGGGAAGGGGGGGACGGCGGGGAAGGCGAAAGAGGTTCCAAAAAAAGAGGGAAGGGATTTGGAACGGCGTAAGTGGAGGGTTGTTGGAGGGGAGGGGGAGGGGAGGGAGAGTGCACAAGGGAACAGAAAAGTGGAAGGGAGTGAGAGCGGAAAGGGAAGAGAAGTAACGAAAGGGTAAGTAGGAATGAGAACTGCACGGTATACGCCCTGAAGAAAGCATGTAAGTAGTCCTTGACTCAGAGGGATTTTTTGGCGGAATCAAAAACCGCTTCTTGACTTACGAGAAGGAAGTCATAACTGAAGAAACGAATGGCGACTTACAGTCTTACATCCCACTGAATCACTCATCACTCATCACTCATAACTCATCTGAGGCAGGCTGTTTCTCCTCTTGCCTTCCCGCGCTCACCTTTACTTCCATTATTTCCCTCATGTCAAAGTTCTATCCTTACTACCCCCCCCTCTCCTCCACCCCCCCCTCACGTCCCCTCCTTTCTCCCCTCCTCACGTCCCCTCCTCTCTCCCCTCCTCTCTCCCCTCCTCAATCCCCTCCTCTCTCTCCCCTTCTCTCTCCCTTCCCCTGTCCCCGTCCTGGCTGGTCCTACCTGCAGCACGCGGTTGCGCTCGGCGCGCTTCATGTTGCCCGCGTGCATCTGAGCTATGTGGCGCTGTGGGCGGCACGCGGAACGAGGGGGATTTGGGGGGATAGGAATGGGAAAAATAACAGGGAAGGGGGTGGAGGGGGTGGAGGGGGTGGAGGGGAGGGGCCGGGGGGGAAGCGGGTGGAAAGGGGGGGGGGGGGAAGGAAGAGAAAGGCAGGGGGAACAAGGAGGAAAAGGCTGAGATGTGGAAGGCAGAGGGAGATGCATGATGCATGCTACGTGATGTAGAGACGAGGTCAACGAGAGAGAGAAGGCATGACTACACTGCCTGCATGCACTCACGTGAGCAGCGACCAGAGCTTCTTTCATTCCTTCATTCAATCATTTCTTCATTCAATCCTTCAATCATTCATTCATTCATTCATTCCCCTCCCCTCCCCTCTTCCCTTCCCTCCCCCTTCCTCCCGCACGCACCTTGAGTTCCAGGTCGGAGCTGAAGACAACGAACTTCTTCTCTAGTCACTCGCCCACCCTTTCCCAGCCCGCTTTCCCCAGGCAATTCCCGCCCCTTTCCCCACAATTCCCCCCCACCCCCCCCTCCCCCCCCCCCCCCTCCTTTTCCCTGCATTTCCTCCCGCACGCACCTTGAGCTCCAGGTCGGAGCTGAAAACGACGAACTTCTTCTCCAGGCACTCGCGTTCCTCGCACAGGTGGTGTTCGTGACGGAAGTGCGCCTGCCGCGCGCGCGCACGCGGGGGGAACCGGGGGGGAAGGGGAGGCGGAGGGCGGGGGGATGGGGGGAAGCCAGGGGGGGCGAGAACAGTGCGGGAGGGGTAGAGGGAGGGGCGTGAGAAGGGAAAACGGGGAGGATGCGTACGGAGAGAGGGCAAGAAGAAAGGGGAAAGCGGGGGAGGGAGGTGTGTGGGTGGGGTGGGTTGGGGGGGTGAGGCCCTTTTTTCCAAACTCTCGAAATTGGCTCGAATCGAGAACAGGCGGATATTGGCTTTGAGTAGGTAGGACCGTAGGAGAGGCGACGTTCTGGTCTCAGGACGGATGCAACAAAGCGGACAAAGCAACAAGCCATGGGAAGGAAGGAGGACAAAGCGGACTGCTCGGACTGGCCGAACTGTGCAAAGAAAAAGGGACAAGGCTGCGTTGTTGATGTGTGATGAATGGTACAGCCAGCCACGGCAACAGCGAGAATGCTCGAGTGATTCCCTGGAATAGCCACTCACCTCCAGGTCGTCATACGATCGGAAGTACTCATAGCTGCCGGGATGCGCCCTGCTCCACCGAGGGGGGCACGCGGGGAAGTGGGGAAGCGGGTGAGTGGGTGAGCGGGTGAGCGGGGGAGCGGGGAAGCGGGGGAGCGGAGAAGCGGGGAGAAGGGAAAGCGGGCGGAGAAGCGGGGAGGAGAGGGAAAGGAAGGGGGAGAGACAGGAGGTGGTGGTTGGGGAAGGGAGCGCAACCGAAGCACACACTCTCGAGCAACCATGGTGCTCATTCAAAGAAACGGCCGGCAAAACAATTGCGGATTGGTGGGACGAATGCTGCGTCACAACTGTCCGAAAATAAACCACCCTCAACCCCCCACTCCCCACCACCTCCCCCCCGGCCCCCTTACCCTCCCCTCGCCCCCTTACACCAAAACCCCCTCCTTCCCACCCAGCACCCACAACGCGTCCCTTGCCCAGTTCCCGCCCTGACGCCCCAACTATTCCCCTTCCACGCCCCTACTCTGGTCCCCACCCCGCACCCCCTTCCCTCCCTCCGTTCCCTCTTCCCTGCCCTTCCCCCTCCGTTCCCTCTTCCCTGCCTCTTCCCCTCCCGCGCAATGCCCCCCGCGCGCACCTCTGGCAGATGTGACACGTGTAGTGCTCCACGCTCATATGCTGGTACAGCTCGTTCTCGCCGTAGAACCTCTTAACGCAGAACTCGCACCGCGGGTGCCCGCGAAACCCGCCCCACACCTCGCTCGCCTCCGCCTCGCGGTCCGGCTCCGCGTCGCCCGTCGCCGCGTGTCGCTCGAGCTGTCGCCGAGTGTAGAGTCGCTGCTCGCACACAAACACCTTGCGACCCTCCAGGCACAAATCGCACATGCCAAGCCGATGTGACTGTTGGAGATGCGCCTTTAGCGGATTGACGTGCGGGAAAGAAAAGCCCAGCGGAACAGAACCCCCCAACACCTTCCCCCCACGGCCTCCCCCTTTTCCTCCTCTCCCCCTCCCGCCGTTTCCACCCCTCCCCCCCGCCCCACCACCCCGACCGGAACCCTCCCCCGCACCACCCGACGTGGCCTCAGCGGCTGCCGCGTCAGCACGTGCGCTGGCGGCAGCCGTGGCGGCGGCGGCGGCGGCGGCAGCGGCGTCCATGGCGGAAGGCGGCGCGTCCCCTTCGCAGACGCGGCACGCGAGGCGGGTCATGGCAGCCATGGTTTTAAAGTGGTCCTCGTCGTCGAAATACGCGTGCATAGTCGGCTCGTACCAGAAATCGCCTCCCGATAACCCGGGTTTCTTCACGGCGCCGGGCAGGATTGAAAAGTCGTAGGAGCAGCGCGTGTACTCGCCGAGAGCCTGACCGGGGCAGGAACGGAAAAGACGGGCGACATGAATGCACCGGCGTTAACTTGCTGCTTGATTGGTCTGTTCAGAAAAGCTTCTGCTACACCAGAGGAGCTGGGTCAGCTAGCTATGAGGGGAAGCGACGACTGGTGATCGTCATCCCCTTCCTACCCGCGTTCGCTAGTTATGGATATGACCAATGTGAAGTAGGGAATGCTCAGCCTCATACCGCGAAATGGATAGAAAAGAAAAGACGAAGACGGCAGGGGGAGACGCCGAGAGGAGAGAGACGGGTAGCTCGGTTGGGATCGGTATACCTTGGTGACGACGACCGCGGGGCAGTCTTGCTTGCAGATGCAGCAGCGAGTGTCGTTCATGACGATGCGCAGGCGCGCGACGCACATGGAGCACACGTCGCGATGGCGGCACGGGCCGATGGCTACCCAGCGAAGCGGCTCGGCGCACACCACGCAGCAGTCCTCCATGGTCGGGAGCGGAGGTGCCAAAAGCGACGATCGCTGACGCACGGGAAGTGACGATCGCGGACTCACGCGCAGCGACGATAGTGGTCGCACGGGGAAGGAGACTCGCTATCGCACAAGCACGATAGAGCCTTCGCCTTCCAATTACCAGTCGTCGCTTCTCGAAAGGGGAAGGACGTGCGAAACGAATGGTTACGCACGGAGAACGAGGTGTAAGGTAGGAAAAGAAGGCAGCGGAGAGATGCGGCCAAGGCGAGGACGATGTGGTTTGGACAGGGCACAAGTGGTCACGTGAGATGTGGTTCGGTGGGAGATGGTGGGGAGAGTGTTGGCGCGTCGGGTAAGGTGAGAGCAGAGCAGAGCGGAGAGGGCCTACTGCAAGGGAGGGTAAGGCGGATGGCGGAAGGAGGAAGTGAGGGGAGGGATGGGGCATAACGCATAAGCGCAGCAGCTACCGAGGAAAGGGGTGGATCTCTTGGGATTCCCTGGTTGTGGCAGGCTGGAGCAGCGGAGCACATGATTAGTTGGGTAGAAGCGAGCCGTTGGTTTTACCGCATAAAACCCGCTCCTCACCGTCATAGACATGGCCATTTTTGCTTAGCGAGCACTCGCAAAATGCCCTGATAACGCGTCGTTGTATGGTGGTTTTGTAGTGCCCGCTCTATATGGTAGAGGATTCGCCACAAACGCAGATGGGCCTTTTACGTGAAGTGCTCCCACGAGAATGGGAAGGTTGTCGCGATTGTGGCCGGAACTGTGGCCTCAAGAAGGTGGCGTGGCATTATGGGAATTCTGGTGATTGGAGGATAGCGCTGACACAATATAGCACAATGCAATAGTCTTCTAGTCATGCAGATACTGTAGTCCAAACCTAGGATACTGCAACTAGGACTAACATTTCCGTTGTCTGAATGGAATATGTATGATGCTGAGGATGGCTTTGATAGGAACACAAACAAGTGACCTGCAATGGGCTGATATGCCAGCCACATGATATAATCTATCATCTTCATAGTTTAAAATATTCAATGTACTGGGATTGATGATCAGATTCTCGAACTCATCCTTCCGTCCAAATTTCCAGCTCACCGTCGCTGCTTGCATGTTCACCCACACCTCACCTCCACCGCATTTCGCGCTACCGAGGCGCGTCGGAAGCGCGCGAGGGCGCAATGCCGCGCTTCCGCCATCGCATCCGTGCATGGCGCCCAGCTCCACTATCTCGAAAGAGCATTCGCCTTCCAATTACCATCTCCACCCATTTCCACCGAGACTCTTGAGCCTCACGTTCGCCGGGACTGGCACCGCGGCGAATCCCACGTCCCTGCTTGGCATCGCCTGCGTTCTCTTTCCGTAGGGATGAGAGCGACTGACTAACTGCTCGAGAGCTTGCGCCGTTTGCGGTGTGTGTGAGAATCAGTGGTGGTCGCAAGGTTTTGACGCGAGCTGAGCCGAGCCGAGTCGAGCAGAGCCGAGCTGAGCGGAGCTGAGCGGAACCGGGCCGAGCCGAACTGAGCTAACCTGAACCGAGCTGAGCCGGGCGATGGCGGAGCAGGAGTTTCTTCCAATAGTTTGCGACAATGGCTCCGGCATGGTGAAGGTGAGAGAAATGGTCTGAACCGTGCATCCGCTCACGGTCCGAGGTGCATCGTCAATCAATCTCTTCCGTGTGCTTTGCACAACGCACGCCGCGACGTTCGGCTGGCAAGCTCTGTTCCCGCCACACTGCTCCAATCCCTCTTATTGCGGGTCGCTTGTGAGAATTCTCAGCTACAACCTGCTGCAATCCTTCCTGCTGCTGTCCCAATCCCTCCTGCAGGCTGGATTCGCTGGGGACGACGCTCCCCGCGCCGTCTTTCCCAGCATCGTGGGCCGTCCACGTCACCATGATGTCATGATAGGGATGGGGCAGAAGGACGCGTACGTGGGTGACGAGGCACACAGCAAGCGAGGCATTCTCACCATCAAGTACCCCATCGAGCATGGTGAGTGGTACCCCATCGAGCATGGTGAGTGGTACCCCATCGAGCATGGTGAGTGGTAACCCATCGAGCATGGTGAGTGGTACCCCATCGAGCATGGTGAGTGGTACCCCATCGAGCATGGTGAGTGGTACCCCATCGAGCATGGTGAGTGGTACCCCATCGAGCATGGTGAGTGGTACCCCATCGAGCATGGTGAGTGGTACCCCATCGAGCATGGTGAGTGGTACCCCCATCGAGCATGGTGAGTGGTACCCCATCGAGCATGGTGAGTGGTACCCCATCGAGCATGGTGAGTGGTACCCCATCGAGCATGGTGAGTGGTACCCCATCGAGCATGGTGAGTGGTACCCCATCGAGCATGGTGAGTGGTACCCCATCGAGCATGGTGAGTGGTACCCCATCGAGCATGGTGAGTGGTACCCCATCGAGCATGGTGAGTGGTACCCCATCGAGCATGGTGAGTGGTACCCCATCGAGCATGGTGAGTGGTACCCCCATCGAGCATGGTGAGTGGTACCCCATCGAGCATGGTGAGTGGTACCCCATCGAGCATGGTGAGTGGTACCCCATCGAGCATGGTGAGTGGTACCCCATCGAGCATGGTGAGTGGTACCATCGAGCATGGTGAGTGGTACCCCATCGAGCATGGGTGAGTGGTACCCCATCGAGCATGGTGAGTGGTACCCCATCGAGCATGGTGAGTGGTACCCCCATCGAGCATGGTGAGTGGTACCCCATCGAGCATGGTGAGTGGTACCCCATCGAGCATGGTGAGTGGTACCCCATCGAGCATGGTGAGTGGTGCCCCATCGAGCATGGTGAGTGGTGCCCCATCGAGCATGGTGAGTGGTGCCCCATCGAGCATGGTGAGTGGTACCCCATCGAGCATGGTGAGTGGTACCCCATCGAGCATGGTGAGTGGTACCCCATCGAGCATGGTGAGTGGTACCCCATCGAGCATGGTGAGTGGTGCCCCATCGAGCATGGTGAGTGGTACCCCATCAAGCATGGTGAGTGGTACCCCATCGAGCATGGTGAGTGGTACCCCATCGAGCATGGTGAGTGGTACCCCATCGAGCATGGTGAGTGGTACCCCATCGAGCATGGTGAGTGGTACCCCATCGAGCATGGTGAGTGGTACCCCATCGAGCATGGTGAGTGGTACCCCATCGAGCATGGTGAGTGGTACCCCATCGAGCATGGTGAGTGGTACCCCATCGAGCATGGTGAGTGGTACCCCATCGAGCATGGTGAGTGGTACCCCATCGAGCATGGTGAGTGGTACCCCATCGAGCATGGTGAGTGGTACCCCATCGAGCATGGTGAGTGGTACCCCATCGAGCATGGTGAGTGGTACCCCATCGAGCATGGTGAGTGGTACCCCATCGAGCATGGTGAGTGGTGCCCCATCGAGCATGGTGAGTGGTGCCCCATCGAGCATGGTGAGTGGTGCCCCATCGAGCATGGTGAGTGGTGCCCCATCGAGCATGGTGAGTGGTACCCCATCGAGCATGGTGAGTGGTACCCCATCGAGCATGGTGAGTGGTACCCCATCGAGCATGGTGAGTGGTACCCCATCGAGCATGGTGAGTGGTACCCCATCGAGCATGGTGAGTGGTGCCCCATCGAGCATGGTGAGTGGTGCCCCATCGAGCATGGTGAGTGGTACCCCATCGAGCATGGTGAGTGGTACCCCATCGAGCATGGTGAGTGGTACCCCATCGAGCATGGTGAGTGGTACCCCATCGAGCATGGTGAGTGGTACCCCATCGAGCATGGTGAGTGGTACCCCATCGAGCATGGTGAGTGGTACCCCATCGAGCATGGTGAGTGGTACCCCATCGAGCATGGTGAGTGGTACCCCATCGAGCATGGTGAGTGGTACCCCATCGAGCATGGTGAGTGGTACCCCATCGAGCATGGTGAGTGGTACCCCATCGAGCATGGTGAGTTTTGCGGCGCCTCAGAAGTGAGTTTTGAGGCGCCTTAAAGGACGTGGGTGACGTGAGGAGGCACACAGCAAGCGAGGCATTCTGACCATCAAGTACCCCATCGAGGATGGTGAGTACCTTTCCAGAATTATCCAAATTATCCATGGTGTGCTAACATGGTGTCTGAATTTCTCGGGTGTGCTGACAGGGTGCTGGCATGGTGTCTGAATTTCTCCGGTGTCCGAACCTTCACCAGTGTCTTTTCCCCAGTGCTGCCTCGTGGTTGGATTGGAACCCACCAACCCAAAAAGGATGGACACAACACTCTTGAAGCGCTTATGTCTATCCCTCCCTTTCCCCACCCCTTTCGCTAACTACCTGGGACGACATGGAGTGCGTGTGCATGGGTGAGCTCATTCTTTTCTATAGGACGCTTCCAACAGCCCATTCCTCAATCCCCCCTCCCTCTCTGCCCTCCCTTGCCAACATGCCACGGCAGGCATAGTGAGCGCATGTGACGACATGGAGCGCGTGTGGGCGCACACTTTCACATTAAGACCCGTTGAGCAGCCCTTTCCATGACCTTCCCTTCCACCGTCCACCCCCAAACTTGCCACTATCACCACGGCAGCCATCGTGAGCGCATGGGACGACATGGAGCGCGTGTGGGCGCACACATTCTACAACGAGCTGCGAGTGTCCCCCGAGGAGCACCCCGTGCTGCTTACAGAGTTGCGACGACGGCATGCAGTGTGTGCGTGTGGCACACATCTTTCCTTTCATACTATCCCAGCAACCACCTCCTCTCCCATACCCACCAGGTGTATCACACCGTATGCAAAGCCCCCTCCGCACCCGCTCCCCCTCCCCCTCTTCCCTCCCTCCCTCCCTCCCTCCTTCCCTCCTTCCCTCCTCCCGCCCAACGCATCACAACAGGCATAGTGAATAACTGGGACGACATGGAGCGCGTGTGGGCGCACACGTTTTACAACGAGCTGCGAGTGTCCCCCGAGGAGCACCCCGTGCTGCTCACCGAGCCGCCGCTGAACCCCAAGGCGAACCGCGAGCGCATGGTGCTGATCATGATGGAGTCGTTCCACGTGCCCGCTGTGTATGTGGCCATCCAGGCCGTGCTCAGCCTCTACTCTTCTGGACGCACCACAGGTCCGTTCCTGCCTCCCTCTCCCTGCTGCTTCCTGCCCCCTGCCCCCTGCCGCCAGCCCCCTGCCCCCTGCCTGCTGCCCGCTGCCTCGTGCCTGCTGCGTGCTGTGCGCTGCTGGGGGCTGGGCCGTACGCGCTGAACCCCAAGGCGAACCGCGAGCGCATGGTGCTGATCATGATGGAGTCGTTCCACGTGCCCGCTGTGTACGTCGCCATTCAGGCCGTGCTCAGCCTCTACTCTTCTGGACGCACCACAGGTGCCTGCCCTCCTGCCTGCTGCCTCCGTCCCTCCTGCCTGCGTCCCTCCTGCCTGCGTCCCTCCTGCCTCCTGCGTCCTGCCCCCTGCCCTCCTGCCTCCTGCTCCCTGCCCCCTGTCTTGTGCGTGTTGTGCTCTGCTGGGTGCTGGGCTGTGCGAGCTGCACACGGATGTGTGCCTCTCCTCTCCACCACACGTGGGTGATTCTGTACTTGCCTACAACTCCTCGTCTCTCCTTCCATCAATCCCTCCCTCCCTCCCTCCCGTCCAAACCCAGGTCTGGTGGTAGACTCGGGCGATGGGGTCTCACACGTGGTGCCCATCTTCAAGGGCTACATGCTGCTGCCAGCTGCCTCCCTCCCTCCCACCCTCGCTCCACCCCTGCTTCTCTCCTCCTTTCTCTCCCTCCTAACCCCAGGTTTGGTTGTGGATTCAGGCGATGGGGTCTCCCACGTGGTGCCCATCTTTGAGGGCTACACGCTGCCACATGCCATCCACCGATTGGACCTCGCGGGCCGTGACGTCAGCAGCCACCTGGCGACGCTGCTGACGGAGCGAGGGTACTCATTCACCACCTCAGCAGAGAGGGAAATCGTCCGGGACATAAAGGAGAAGCTGTGTTACGTGGCAGAGGACTATGAGAAAGAGCTCGCCCTGGTTGATAGTGGGGGCGGAGGAGTGGGAGGAGTGGGAGGAGTGAGGAGGAAAGGAGGGGAGGAGGGCGGGGCTGGAAGGAAGAAGGGAGGGAGGTCCGAGAGGGAGACACCGAGTGGTAGTGCTGACACTGCCGCTGCTGCTGCAACTACTCTAGACAAAACCTACGAGCTGCCCGACGGGCAGGTGATAACAATCGGTTCGGAGCGGTTCCGCGCACCGGAAATCCTCTTCTCTCCCTCCCTCGTGGGCATGGAAGCACCAGGGCTGCACGAAGCAGCATACAACACCATCATGAAATGCGATGTGGATGTGCGCAGGGATCTGTATGCGAACATTGTTCTGAGTGGTGGCTCATCTATGTTCCCGGGGATGCCTGAGAGGATGCAGAGAGAGGTGGGGGGTTTGGCGCCTGGGAGTGTGCGCGTGCGTGTGGTGGCGCCTCCTGAGCGCAAGTACAGCGTGTGGATTGGCGGGTCTATCCTTGCGTCGCTCACCACGTTTGAACAGGTGGGTGCGATGGGGGGTGGTTTTATGCTGTGGGGTGCGGTACAGGTGGGATGGGGTGTGGTGGGTTCTATCGGCTGCTGCGGCTTTTGACTTGCCTGTACCGGTGGGTGGGTGTGATGCTTGCCAGCCAGTCTGGTTAGGGATGGATGGGTGATTGGTGTGCATAGATATGAATTATGTACGATGCTTGTACGATATTTCAAGTATTTGGGTGTGGTGAAGGAAAGCTAGAGCGTTGATGTTTTGATGCTGTACATACATGGCTTATCTAGCTCGTCACACCAATCTTTATCTTATCTTCTCTTCCCGTCCCCGTTTCCGTCTCCCCTTCCTACCCCCAATTGCCCACCTCTTCTTTCCTCCTCTGCTATCACTCCCTCCGTTCCTTGCAATGCAATGCAATGCAATGCAATGCAATGAAACGCAGATGTGGATCTCCAGGGAGGAGTACGAGGAGTATGGCCCCAGCATTGTGCACCGCAAGTGCTTCTAGCCACTCACCCACCCACCTATCCTCATGTCCCTAGAAAAGTCAGTCCCTCCGAAGCCCCACAGACTCCATATCAGCCTCCCATGGGGCTAATGTTGATATCCACACCTGTGTACACATGGTTTTCCATTTTACCTATCCCGTGGCAGACTGCTAGCTAGGATAACGTTTGTAGACCCAGCCGCTTGTTAGCTTGACCAGACCTAGCTTGTCCCCCGATTCTTACATTCTAGATTCACTGATACCGGGTATGATGGTTGGTAGCCTCATGCATTGTTGTAACCTGATGTTGTCGGCACACACGACTGTTTGATCAAGGGCCTGTAATGTGAAGAGGCAATTTCAGAAAGATACCGTAACACTACCAACCTATCAACATAATAACTCAGATAAAGGCCAATATAAAAAGCCTACATGCATGACAGCTACTACAACTCTGTGTAATTGGTAGGTAGGTGGGCCTAAAGCCCCGTGAGCCTGAATGCCAGAATGCGCAGGCAGCAGGCTCCTACATCCTTACATTGCATGCCTACATAACTACATCCTCACAGGAGGATTACCTTACACTACACCCCACATCTACACCTGCCCCTGCATACCCCTAAACAAAAAGGTGAAACCAAGGCAGTTTCCCCCTAGAAAATAAATGATAAGGACACAAGTCCGTTTGTGGCAGTGTGTTTCAATCCAACTTGCACCTCGCCTCATGCACTCAACCATGCACTCGTTACAGACGTTGATGCCTCTGGCACTGGCACCCCACATGCACCTCGCTGCCATGCCACCGCCAATTCACCGCCACGTCACCACCACGCCACTGCCACGTCACTGCCGTATCATTGGTACAAAATGACAGTGTCCCGCGCATGCTGGAACACCTGGTTGGGCGACACAGGAGACAGGCTGTTCTTGGGCGGCAACTGCCCCCTCTTTGCTGCTAGCCTTCTCAACGCTGTTCTCGACCCAGCACTCGCCGCCGCGGTTAGTGCACTCGAGGCCGCACCACCAACACCCCCGTCCACCTCACTGTACCCATCCTCGCCGCCTCTCCCTTCGCTCCCCACCCCCAGCCCCCCTGCTGCTCCCCCTCCTCCCATTCCTGACGCAATGCTTCCTCCTCCTGTTACACCCCCGCCTCCCACACTCAACCTCCCCCAATCCCCCTCGCTCTCCCTCCCCTCCCTCGCACCCCCCGCTCTCGCCCGTTCCCTCACCTTGTCCCTCACTCTATCTCCATACCGCGACAACCCCCCCTCCCCTCCCCTCTCCCTCCCCCCGCCCGCATCCCCCTCCCCTCCGTTCCACACAGTATCATCCGGAGAAATCCCCATCTGTCTCAGCACCTCATCAACCTCATCCATAGTCGTGCCGCCCGATTGATCCGACAGCCAATCCTGGCCCTCCACGTTTCCCTCTGGAACAGGTCTAATCTCCCCGTCCCTCCCTCCCGCTGACCACCCAGGCAGCCCCGCTGCTGCTGCCACCGCTGCCGCTGGCACCATCACTCGACAGTACGGCCCCCCTCCATCCCCTCCTCCCCCTCCCCCTCCTCCTCCCCCTCCCCCTCCCACTCCCACTCCTCTCAGCCCATACCCTTGATCGTTATACCCTGCTCCTCCATCCATCCCCCCGCCGCTGCCGCCACCATACCCGTACCCTCCGCGTCCTCTCACCGACCCACTGGCGGAAGCACCGCTGCTGTATCTCCGCATGCTACTCCCATAGGTAGTAGACGAGCGGTCATCATACACACTCCCAGGTGCACTCTCGGCAACCCCCACCACTTTATGCCCACCTCCCGCGCCTCCCCCTCCCATGCCCACCCCCCCACCCACCGCTGCTCCCACCCCCCCCTGCTGCTGCTTCTGCTGCTGCTGACTTGACGGAGGTGAGAGGCTCGACCCCCCCCACCCAAACAGCGAGGAGAAAATCGAGCTAGCGAAAGACGGCGTAACAGGGGAGGAACCAGCAGCGGCACCAGCACCAGCAGCAGCCGCAGCAGCGGCGGCAGCAGCAGAGGTCGACGGGGGAGGAGCGGAAAGAGCGCCTTTCCCTGTGGAGGACGAATCGTCGAGTGATGAAGCTCCATCGGAAACCTGCCGGCGACCGTGGTGGCTTCGGGCGCGCCCCTCGCGGAAGCGGGAACGGTCGTAGTAGGGGTAGTGGGACGAGGCACTGGCGGCACCGCCGGTGCCCACGGGGGAGGAAGAGGAGAGGACGATGGAGTCGGAGAGCCTGTCTCGCTCCACGTACCCGTCAGATCGCGGCCGGGAACGGTCCCACCTCGTGTAGTCCCGGCGACCGTAGGGGCTCCTGGGGGGTGGGGAATAAGGGGTGGAGGGGAGTGTGGGGAAAGGGGGGAAGAGAGAGGGGGGAGCAGAGGGTTTTCTTTTAGGAGTTCCTTCCAAGAGGGGTCCCTCCGCGTGTAATCCCTGCGGTCGTAGTAGGGGTAGTGGGAGGGAAGAGGCACTGGCACCGCCGGTGCCGACGGGGGAGGAGGAGGAGAGGACGATGCAGTCGGAGAGCCTGTCTCGCTCCACGTACCCGTCGGATCGCGGCCGGGAGCGGTCCCACCTCGTGTAGTCCCGGCGCCCGTAGGGGCTCGTGGGGGAACGGGAAGGTGGGGATGACGGGAGGACAGACAGAAAGGGCGGTTTTGTTTTAGAGAGAGTCCAAGCGCGGTCCCACAGCGTGTAGTCGTGGCGACCGTAAGGGCTCCTGAACGGGGAGGGAGGGAGGGAGAGAGGGAGAGAGGGGGAGAGTGGAAAGGGAGAAAGGCTGGGGTAAAGCGACTCGTCGCGTGATGGAACGGTAGAGGTCCCGCCGCGTGCAGTCGGAGAGCCGGTCTCGCTCCACGCACGTACCCGTCCGATCGCGGCTGGGAGCGGTCCCACCGCGTGTAGTCCCTGCGGCCGTAGGGGCTCCTGCGGTTGAGGGAGGTAGGGGAGACGGACGGAGAGAGGACAGAAAGGGCGGTTTTGTTTTACAGAGAGTCCAAGAGCGGTCCCGCCGCGTGTAGTCCCTGCGGCCGTAGGGGCTCCTGAAAGGTGAGACGGAAGGGAGGTGAGACGGAAGGGAAGGAAGGAAGAGAAAGACGGTGTCTTATCAACAAAGTCCCATAGCGGTCCCACCGCGTGTAATCCCGGCGGCCGTAGGGGCTCCTGAAAGGTGAGACGGAAGGGAAGGAAGGAAGAGAAAGACGGTGTTTATCAACAAAGTCCCATAGCGGTCCCACCGCGTGTAATCCTGGCAACAGTAGTGGCTCCTGGGGGAACGGGAAGGAGGAGGCGGGGAGAGCAAAGGGAGGACGGTGTTCATTGAGGGAATTCAAGAGCGGAAGGGAGAGTTCACTGAGAGTAGTCCCTGCGGTCATAAGGGAATTAAAGAAACGGTGTTTATTGAGAGTAGTCCCTGCGACCGTAGGGGCTCCTGGGAGGGGAGGGAGTGCGGGGAGGGGGGATAGGGGGGAGAGGAGGGAGGAGGGAGAGCGGAAGGGGGGGGGAGAAGAGGAGGGAGATGTTATTTTGAGGAAGCTCGAAGATCGGTCCCACGGTGTAATGCCGCAGCATTGTAGGGGCTTACAGCACATGTGAACGCATAGATGAGTGCATGCTAAAGGAGCCACACGTGCACATCCTCCCCAGCAGCAGCAGAAGCAGCAGCAGCAGCAGCAGCAGCAGCAGCAGCAGCAGCAGCAGCAGCAGCAGCAGCAACAACAACAGCAGCAGCAAGAGAGCCCCGCACAGCAGCCGTACCGTCTTCTATCCGACGTGCTGGCGCGAGTCAGCTGCGGCTGCTGCTGCCCAAACCCCTTCCCCCCCACGCCCACCCACACACCGTCCTGCCCGCCCGCCCCGCCATACCCTTCCCCCACGCCCATCCCCAGCCCTCCCGCTCCCCCTCCCCCCGCTCCGCCTCCCCCCGCTCCCCCTCCGCCCGCCACCGCCGCGAGCTGGTTCAGCAGCCCCGCCACCTTCCCCTCCGCGGCCCTGGCGCTCCGCTCCGCCTCGTCCCGCTGCGCCAGGAGCTTCGCCACGCGCCGCTGCATCTCCTCCTTCCCCACGCGCGCCACGGTGGTTACTCTCTCCACCCACTCCTGTCGCTCCTCCATGGCGCGCGCAACCGCCGCGCCTACCTCGATCTGCAGCTGCTCTTTCTCCTCTAGGCACTGCCCTAGCTCCTCCTGACACTGCCCCCACCGCATCTCCAGGTCCTGTATCCGCTCTATAAGCCTCTCCCGCTCGTTATAGAGCGCGGCGACAGCTAGGGTTTCCACGCTTTGTCCTGCCGCTCTTCCGCTGCCCACTCCCCCCCCTGCGGAAGCCGCCGCCGCCGCTGCTGCCGCAGCCACGCCACCGGGACCTCCGCCGGGCGGATTGCTGGAGTCTGACGATGACGTGGAGGTGCCTGATTGATCGAGCGCGGTGCGCAGCTCCTCGCACTGTTGCCGCAGCAGGTCGCGCTCCTTGGCGGTTTCGGACGCCGCCACCGCCAGCTGCGCGCGCTCCTCCTCCGCGCTGGTGAGAAGATTGCGCGTGGCTATTAGCTGCATGCTTAGCTCGTCCAGAGCCTCTGCGAGCGGGGGGGCGGGCAGCGGGTTCGCCGGAGGATGGGGGGGGGAAAAGGACGGGGACGGGCGGAAAGGGGGCGAGAGTGGGGATGGGGAAAGCGGGGTGGGGGGAAGGGGGGGTCGAGAAGGGTAAAGAAGGGAGCGCAAGGGGGGTATGTCAGGAAGGAGTGATTGGCTAGCGAGAGAGGAAGGTGAAACGAACGGCAAGGTAGGCGGAGTAGCTAAATAAGGAAGATAATAATAACGACAGGAATACGGAATCGACTAGGAGCGGGAGCGGGACGGAGCTCAAAACAACGCCCTCCTCTTCCCAACCACATCATCGCTTCACGTCCCGCTCCCCCCTCCTTGCTCAAGGAAATTTGGCTACAACTACAAGCATGGCACTACAGCGGTATGCCCCACGCCGCCCCATGCCGCCCCATGCCGCCCCATGCCGCCCCATGCTACCCCATGCCGCCCCATGCCACCCCATGCCGCCCCATGCCCCCCCATGCCGCCCCATGCCACCCCACGCCGCCCCACGCCGCCTCACGCCGCCCACCAGCCATGCGCTGTCGCTCCGCTTCCGCCAGCACGAGCTGTTCCTCCGCGCGCATCATCTCGCGCGCCATCCGCTGCACCTCCATTTCCGCCGCCTCCCGCCCCCGCCTCTCCTGCTCCACCTGCTCCCCCGCCGATTGCAACCGCGCTTCCAGAACCCGAAGCTCCACCGATAGTAAATCCAGCTGCGCGGCTCCTACGGCGGCAGTTGCGGCGCCTAAACCGGAGCCTCGTAGGCTGGAGGATCCTAAGGACGTATGCTGTTCCAGCTGCTGCTGCTGCTGCCTCAGGTGACTGTACTGGCCGCGCAAGAGCCGGCTACGATCCGCAACGCTACGATCGTCTGCCAGTCGCGCCTCGGCGTCTGAGTCCGTCTCTCTAAATCTGCTTGCCCGACTAATACCATCGGACGGGATGTCTAGACGCAACCGCGCTAGCCGCGTCGCGTTCGCTACGTCGCTAAGACTACGTTCGTACCCTGCCGAGTCCGGTCGGCTGCTACTGCTACTACTAGTAATACCGCCTCCTAAAAGCTCTCGTGCCAGCAAGCCTATAGCCGCGTCCTTTTCCAATCTCATAAACTCCCCTTCGCTCGAACGTCCCTCACCCCCGACTCCGCCTCTTGCGCCGCCTCCGCCTCCGCCTCCGCCTCCTCCCCCGGCTGCTTCCCTGCCTGCCCTCGCACCTCCGCCGTCCCGTTCATCTTCACCCTCATCCTCATCCCCATCATCGGCAGAACCTTCTATTCTCTTTCCTTTCTCATCGGTCGACGTGCGGCCACGCGGCCTGCCTGAACCATCTCTGCTTCGCGCCTCCCCGCCGCTCTCACTGCCACTGGCACTGTCGTCCCCTGCCCTGTCGGACGCTGACGTGGACGCTAAGCGGTTAGCCTGCTGTTGCCAGGTTTCGTCTGACCACTGTTGCTGCTGCTGTTGCTGCTGCTGCTGTTGCTCCCCTTCCCCGTGTGGCGCAAGCCCGGAGCTACGGGGACTGCCCCGGTTACGCGCCATGGCTGCTGTCGCCAGGTTGACAGCGTAAGATGTAGCGGCTCGCGGAACCAGGTCGAATAAATGGCGGAACGGGGATACGACGGGTCGTGCGGTGCTTGGAAAAGAGGTACTAGACAGAGAGCTGACGAAGCAGGATGTTGCGTTGGAAATGCATCGGCCTACATAGTATTGCAATTGCCCTGTTCACAGCACTTCGAAGACCTTGTGATAGGATGAGAGTTCAACCAACAGGCTACGAACTTGGTTGGGTTGACTAACGCAGCCTCATAACGCGTACACATGAGTCCAGATCCAGCCATCAACCAGGTTTACATGGTAGTGGTTCAACCGAGGAAATTCTCCTGCTCCTTTTGGCCATCCAGCATCTTTATTCCATCCTTCGACTTTATCACCTTGTTTGATACCAAAAGAACGAGCTCATGGCATCAAGTCGATGCTGCATACTATTTAGTTCCCAGTGCACAAGGCTTCTAGGGTTTGCCTTCGAAAGGCATCGCTAGCTGCGGTAAGTGCGCAAACCATTTCGTTAGGAGGGGTTGCTGTGTATGGCAGGGGGGACAGGTTGGCGGAACGAAACAAAAAGGGATGGGGAGTCGGGGGTGAACATGACGGGGGAGGGTGGAAGGGGGGGGGGGGTGTGTGGGGGGAGGGAGGGGGAAGGGAGGGACCATGGATGTGAGCTAGGCGGAAGCAAGTTGTTTGCCATATGGTTTTGCTCGGTCTTCTCTGTTCTAATACGGTAGTGAGAGCGAACAGATGTTTTACCGGGTAGAAACTCACTGAACCCGACTGGACCATGACTGGACGAACTCGGGGGACAGCCCATAAGGGGAAGAAACTGTACATGCGCGAAAATCGGCGCAGCTTGAATGGAGGCCGAGCCAGTCGCAAAAGCTGGGTGGGTTGCACAAGAATGCGGGACAGGTGTTAATTTTTGCGGCGGGAAATGCCAGAATAACAGGTTTGAGGACAAGGTTAGCGTCACTGTAGCGAGATTAGCTGCAGGAAGTGCTGCCCGCTTGATGAATGCTGCTGCCCGTTCACGAATGCCCCACGGTGATGCAACGCAAAGCTACTGTACTCATGATGAGGTTGGTGTCGCCTGGTTGGGAAGGTTGGCGCAAGCACGACAAGTGCAGATAGGTTTTATGGCACACGTACTTTGTAAAGAGCAGCTCATTATTAGAATGTCAGATGTTGTCCTGCTAGAGTTAATATGCATTATTTGTATCACTCATCTTCAAGGACTGGTATTATGAAAGGTGTGGCCCAAGAAATACGCCGAGCGAACTGGCCACTATATAAGTCGGAAATTCCTGCGTAAGTCACTGCTAGTCTGAAAAAACTGGGTCTGAAACTCAATAATCGAACCAACTAGAATGGGAGTCATGGGTGAAATACGATGATAATTTTGTAGATTATATAAATTTGAGAACTTCATACCATAGTCTTTTTGCCCTTATACCTTGTTCTTGCCGATAAATCATCGCTTATGATAATATTCCTCTGAAGTACATTAAATATGTGGAAAGTGTAGAGATAGGGCTTCAACAGTAAGTTTTCTGACACCAGCTTCGTTTGATAACCAGTCTCCTGTTTTCCACGTGGAAGTGAGTGAACTATCCACGTGGCCAGTAGCGGTACCCACATGTTAGCCAGGATCCCTTCGGCCAACCATAGTGAACTCGGCTCCACAGCCTGGCGAAGGGAGCTCCCTCTTCACGGGAGATGCTGCTCCTTTTTTCTTACGCGCGTCGAGATTCGGGCAGGAGGTGGAGGCCTCGATGAGGCGTCGGGCCAGTCACGGATTCACGATTCGGGATAATCGTACGGTTGGTGGCGTACTTAGGGGTGTGTGTGTGTGTGGGCGGGCTGGCGGCAGATGCTTATTTTCATACTTATAGCTACAGTACCGTACAGTACCGTACTGTCCTTGCTTCCCAGATTCTTCCGTCTCTTCCTCCTCTTCCTGCTCGTCCTTCTTCTCCTCCTCGTCCCCGTCGTCCTCCATTCTCAGTGGCTCTCTTCTTGCAATTCTCGCGAACGTTCCGTAGTAGGCCATTGACGATGATGATACACCACTGTCGTCGTGTGGAAGCGACGCGGAGAGGAACGGTTTGCCCGAGTTGAACTCCCCGTCATTGGGTTGAGCGCGCTGCAATCAGGAATGCGAGAATTCGTGTAATCCACACGGACTACCGCTGCGAGAGATTATTCTGCGGAACTTGCAATTTCAACTTGTCCAAGCAAGACCACATCATATTCTGAGCAAGACTGCAAGTGTTAAGCAGCTGCAGAATTCACGGCAGCAGTAGCGCAGCCATGGCGTGCGTCGTCAGAAAACTTCCCACTGGCACACACTCCTTATCAACTGCAAATGAGCACCAGCGCGCGTCGTCACACACTCATCACAATTCACTCCCTTCTCACACGCCGGACCACCATCCACGCCGGGTCAACCTCGCGCGTCGCTTCCCCACCAAAATGACCCTCTCCTCGAAGCCACTCGCGGCGCATTCGACCTCGAGCGCGGCCCGAGCAAGCATGTCAACCGGCGCCAACATTATCCGCACTTCTTCTAGCCGTTCCAGGACCAGCGCGAGCACGGACTTTCTTGGCTCGTCGTGTCCGATTCTCGTGGACAATAACGGCGCCCGTGCGTTGCAGACCAAATCGTTGGTCGCATCGCGGAAACATCGTAGCCGCCCAGCCAGAGGCGGTCGCGGTGCAATCACGGCGGCCGCGGCGGACGCGTCGAATGTTCCGTCAGACGGAGACGGATTCTACTACTATCCTGAGCCTGCTACGAGCAGCGGTAGCGGTAGCGTTACTAGCGATGCCGGTGACGGTACGAGCAGCAGTGCCAACGCGGCTAGTGCTGCGGAGCGCGAGAGCGTGACCCGGGCTAGGCGCGTTCGGTCCCTGGAAGACGTAATTGAGCGGGTGAGTGCGTGGTCGCGATTCTATTAGATCCCTTCTCGAAATTCACGTGCGTGTTCAACCCATAGTGTTTTTGTTAACCCTCTGCTCCCCTGGCGTCCCTCCTGTTGACCCTCGCCGTCCCCTGCTGACGCTTGTTGTCCCTCGCCGACCCCCGGCAGACCATCTTCAACTTCCGGTTCTTCACGCTCATGGCGGTCGTTGGCTCGCTCATCGGCTCCGCGCTCTGCTTCACCAAGGTGAGCGCGCGGACTGGGTGCCACGTGGACTGGGTGCCACGTGGACTGGCTGCAACGTGGACTGGCTGCCACGTGGACTGGCTGCAACGTGGACTGGGTGGCACGCGCACCAAGTGCCTTTCCTACCGGGTGCCTGCCTGCCGGGTCTTCTGAGTCGTCTCGGATCTCGTCGCCTCTGCGTTCGCCCCATTGAGACGAGAAAGGCGATCTGAGTGCGGATTCGGTGGCAAGCGGTGGCAAGCGGTGGTAGGCGGTGGCAGGCGGACCGGGTGCCTTGCGGACTAGTATGGCAGGTGGACAGGGGAAGAGTGAGTGAGAGCACGTGAGGGCATGGGAGGACAACCGAGACTGAGGAGCTGATTCAATCCAGCCAGCTAGCACCCGAGAGAGCCAGAATCACAAAGCTAACCTTAGCCCGCCAACCCGAACCCCACCCCTAACCCCTCCCCTGTTTGAAACGTGAAACTCCTCCCAGGGCTGCATCGTCGTGGCCCAGTCCGTGAAAGAGTTTCTGCTCTTCTGAGGCGCCTCAAAATACGACATTTTTTTTAGGCGCCTCAAAGGCATCCCCAACCCCAACCCCAACCCCAACCCCACCCCCAACCCCAACCCCAACCCCAACCCCAACCCCACTCCCACCCCCGCAACGTGAAACCCCTCCCAGGGCTGCATCTTCGTGGCTCAGTCTGTGGAAGAGTTTCTGCTCTTCTGCTGGAATGGCGTGGGCACGGGCAAGGTCATTCTGCTGCTCGTGGAAGCTGTGGGTGAGTGCAATGCGGTGCAGTGTGGTGCGGTGCGGTGCAGTTTGGTGCTGTGCAGGGAAGAGACGCGAAAGGCCATGCTCGGCTCGAGGTAAGCCTGCATAGTCATTCATTGGTGTGATGAAGAGCTTGCATGGGAAGGAAGGAGGCACATGGAAGGAAGGGATTTACGCACTGGAGCAGCATTGGAGGTTTTTTTAGAATTCTCAAAAGTCACATCAACATGTATCAGTTACGAATGCTCTTCATTTTCTCATCTCCTCATTTCATCTGCACTTCTCATCCGCTCATTTCATCTGCTCTCCTCAGATGCTCTCTCTTTCAGCCACACGAAACCTCTTTCTGCCCTCCATTGCATACCAGGGTACAAGGCGGTTCAAGAGATTGAGATTGTATATCCAATTACAGCAAAGCCCTCGGCTCTCCTCCTCTGCATCAATCAACTACCATTCCCCCATTCTTGCAACTTTATCAAAAAAGCCGAGCCGCCACTTCTGATTCTCCCCACTTTCCTCTTCCCCCCCACCCTCCAACCCAACCCCCCCCCCGCCTGTCCCATCACACCCGCAAAACACGCGCTGCCTAACACCAGACGTGTGCCTGATTGGCACGCTTATGATTCTGCGTCTCATATTCGGCATACAGATGTTAACTTCGGAGGGCCAGACAGAAACATTCTGAGACGCCTAATAAGCCGCTACCCCACCCCGACCCTGTAACTGTCACACTGGCCCACCAACAGGCGTCTGTCTACCTCGTCCGCATTGTCATGCCCATATTCAGCATCGGGCTGTACTGTACGGACTTTGTGGCGCCGTGACACCTCTCGTCGGGCTCTACCTCTACCTCTTCGTCAACTCCCTCGACGTGCCCCGTGACACGTCCTTGCTCTCCCCTCTCCCCCTCTTCCCTCCATCCCCACCCCACAACCACCACCCAACACCAGATGTCTACCTGATCGGCACCGCCATGCTCAAATTCGGCATTGGGCTGTACGAGCTCTTTGTCAACTCTCCCTCGATATGCTCCCTCTCTCCTCCCTCCCCTCCCCTTCTCCCCT